TTCGCAAACAAACAGGACCAACTAAAACCCTAATTATGAACAAATCGGAATTCGGATTTTAGGGACAGATACCCTGGATTCGCGGACTTGTTTGAGGAATCTCTTCACCAGCTCGATGGTGTTTGGGCGAATCTCCTCGCCGGGCTTGTAGAAATAGGATTCAGGGACGTATAACTGGTCATTACTAAAACCTGGTTTCTACAAGAATAATCCAATATGGGATAAAGATTGATCTTAGCCATTGTTTATAGTCATTGCGTAAGGAACCATAATGGAGATCTGCCTTCTTTGAAATTTAAATGGTACTCTAACATCAGAAGAAGTTATGATCATCTAAGGTATTGAAACTTTATCGCATGCATGAACGCCAGTAAGAATTTTACACTCGAGAACATAATTAGAGAGTTTGGTCACAACCAATCGAAACTCAATGAGTGACCCATGTTCCGCAACAACATCACTGAGTTCCTACCTTCAAATTTAACTCATGATTTGGTGTTCCAGAACACTTGATAATATTCAAGAACTCGGGCGTATGGAGTTCTGCAAAAAGTCGGTATTTTAGTCGGATTTACACGTACTGTCAATGCTTAAGTACATGCGACATTCAGTCAAATTTGTTGTAAGTATTTTTACCGGAGTAGAATCGAAAGATTCGTTACCTGAGTCGTATCGCAAGGAAGGTTATCCGGATTTAATTGTACGGATATTCAATCACGAGAAACAGAAAACAATTTCCTAAGCACTATAATTCAATAGTTTGGGTTTTCAATTATCAATTAATGATTCTAAAACTAAACGAAACACGATTTCAATTGCAGACAAATTCACTTAATGATAAACGAGCAAGGGAGTCGGGGATAACCGCTTTCGGTTCTAACACAATTACCGGGCAATCAGTTGCTCGGTTAAAGGACTTGAATCATTTCTCGTCCAGATGTTCACTCTTAATAACTCTTCGTAACAAAAGAGTGAATGTAAACGATCAACTATCAATTCCAATAACACATAGCAATATATTAACGAACAAGTCTATTCTAACCAAGCCTAAATTGACCGACGTCTCCTCTCTCGGTTCTAAACGTCGATTAACTAGGTTAGAATGGTAATTAATCAACTAATCTTATTCAATATAATAAGAAACCCATTTATAATCTTCGTTAGCAAAGATCCTATCCCACTCTGAAATATAGATTAATCACGTATAATATCCTAAACCATTAAAAGATGATTTAGAATTTCCCAATCCATGAAACACCATAAGATGACACGAGAAACTCATTATCAATTTTTTATATATATAATGAGGGGATTTCCACATGATGTGTGAAAAAAAAAAAAAAAAATAGGCTTTGGATGTTATATTTTTTCCCCAACATGAAAACATAACCCGCTTAAAATGGACGTTCGCCGATATAATTCCCCGGCGAGTCATAGTTGCAGGTGACGAAGGTCCACCCATTCTTACACAATGCCCTCCCACACCCAACCCTAGTCGAACTATTCCACACGACCTGCGTGTAATGCAAGCATTCCCCGCCCACACAACTATTAGACTCCAAATCGTACGCATCTTTTCGCTCACCCACATGTCAACGGCTTCCTTGGCGCTCAAGTCCCATGACCCCGCTGCCAGGTTTTTTCCATAGGGCCCAGTTGAGTGTTGCATTGCACAATCTTGAGATCGTTCGTTTGCGTAATTTTCGGCATATGCCTCCACTTTAGAGTCCCAAACGAGTGGCTGCACGCCAACTTCTGCTCGGGCTACATTGTGGGCATCGACAAAGTCTTTGGGCGAATTTTGGGCGTGTGTCGAGATTATCAAGAAAATAATGAGGGGAATTGGGGTTTTTAGTAGGGATGGCAGCGGTTCGGTTTCGGTTCGGATATCCGCGGTTTTTGGTTCTGCAGTTTTCGGTTTTGGTTCTCAAATTTCACCCACGGTTTTGCGGTTTCGGGTACCCGAAAGTCTTCGGTTTTGGTGCGGATCCTATATTTCGCCCGTGGTGCTCCGTTGGGTGCCCAAAATAGACGACCCATCAAAAAGCCCACCAAAAACCCTAGCTATAAGTGGAAATTTCCTCTCCCTCTTATCCTCTCCCCGTCTCCCGTGATGGCTTGACTTAGCTATGTACTCTACTACCTTTATGGCTTGTACTGTACGTTGGTACTTACTAATTTGTGACTGGTTGCCTGGTACTCTCTAAGTTATCATGTTTTATGTTGTTGTCATTGGTGTTTTATTATAATATTTTTGGTTTTTTGGGTATCCGTTTGGTTTTTGGGTATCCGCGTGTTTTGGTTTTGGTGAAGGATTTTCACCCGAAACAGTTTTGGTTTTGGTTTTGGTTTTTAAGTTTGGGTTTTGGTTTTGGGTGCCCTGAGGTTCCATCCGATCCGAACCCGAACCGCTGCCATCCTTAGTTTTTAGCCAAGTCATTTTTTTTTTTTTTTTGTTGGAATTATGTAGCTAGTTTTATAAGAGAGTTGAGGAAATAAAGATTGGCAGAGAATTGTGGAAAATGAATGATGGAAATTACTTGTTGACCAAACTAGGGTAGAGAAAGGGGTTTATGTTTGACTAGGTTTGGGCATGGCATTAACTCAATTTTTAGACTTATTAATGGTTCAGGAAAAAAAAAAAAGACTTATTAATGGTTCAAATGCTTTATTGTACAATTATGTATAGATACCAGAAAGCGGGGAATATCAGCAGAAATTCTATGGTGCCACATGTGGCACCATATTATGGTGTCACAACATGATGTGGCACATTATGATTGGTGCCACAACTATCACACATCATGTTGTAGCACCAATCATAATGTGTCACATCATGTTGTGGCACCATAACACGTGCCACATGTGGCACCATAGAATTTCTCGGAATATCAGTGAAATTATAATAACGGTGAAAATGGTTTCAGCATAATTATTAATTAATATGTGAAAAATGCTATAGGTACATAATATTGTACATAGAGTTCTACATAACACTCACATTGAGTGGAACCGACCAACCAAAAATAAAAAGGGAAAATGCATGTAATATTATTGTTTAGATTATAAAATATCTATTACTAGTTAGATAAGAAAGAAACATTGAATTGAGAATAAAAGAGCTTACAAGCTTCTATTGTGGGAAAAATCAGACTAAACATTCTTCCTTTTACCTCTCAGAAGCATAAAACCCATAAAGCAGAACACAGTAGTAAATTGAAAATTTAAATCACAGGACTAAGTGTGCAAGGAATAGGAATGTGATAGAGAAAAATCTTTGGAAAAAACAGAAAGAAAAAATATGGAAGTTCCAGATAAATACAACATACAAATATATTCCCAACTGGTTGGAATCTAAGGGATCAGTTGTACGCAGACCTTACTCTTGTAACTATACAAGAGACCTTACCCTTGTAACTATACAAGAAGCTTGTTTCCGTAGCGACTTAAGGTGCATTGCGTCGTTTGATATATTTTTTTTTTTTTCTAGGAACTTCACTAATAGAAGAAGCACTAGAATTTAATTGAGTCATTTTGATCTAGTCCATTATTAGCACTATGCCAGGAGAATTGTCAACAATGACTCTTCCAGCACCATTTGCAATGGACAATTTCAGATAAATATTCGCTCCTTTTCTTATATTTTTCCACTTTATACTGCAGGAGTTTCCTGCTACACAGCAGTAAATCATGTTATGATACATTTTGCTCGATGCCAGTTAATACTAGGAAAAAAAAATGTTTCAATCAATAATTTAGGTGTCTCAAACTTTCATAGCAAAAAAAAATTACACAATTTCCAGAGACATATTAAATACTGTAACTAGAGATGACCGTCGTATTTCAGCTAATAACTTTATCCAATGATCAATGCAATGGTTTGAGGTAGAAAACTTGGCAGGCTGACTTGTAGGACTTCTTGGCTGCTGCCTGCTCAAATTTCTTGACAGCAGATTCATTTTCTTCTAAGCTGGTCTGGAAGAAAAATCTTATCCACCAAGATGAGCTTCGCAATTTAGCCTACAAAATGGAGACCAACAAGCTAACTTTAAGAGTTTAACTGAGACGTGAGATTTTATTAAGATTCGTGTTCAGAATTTAGAATCTCATGGTTACCCAAAGGAAGATAAAGCCAGCTGAAAAACAGCTTAAGCACATTTCCTTATTTTAATAATTCAATGACACCATTATTGTTGATGTAGTGAACAGGAAACATGTACTAGACTGACAGAAGAATATAGGATATGTAAATCAATTAGGTATCTTGTTGTTTCTGTACTTGCCTAAACAAAATCTGATTTATATGTAAAATTCTCGGAGATTCAATCAGTTAATTTAGATTCTTTTTTCCATAATTCTCATTCAGTTCTATCAGATGCTTAAAGATGAGAGAAAAGGCTGCATATTATACACATAGTGAAAGAATTAAATGTTGACACTTACTGGGCGTCCAAACTTAGATAGCTCAGCCACTTTAGCTCTCTGCTTACCAGGGTAACCTGCATTTGTATGGCAATTCTAAACTAGTCAGCCAGAACCGATTACAAGATTATCCCTTACAGATTTGTAAGTATAGTTGACTAAACAGGAAGTCAAGAGTTTATGGACATAAGCCACATTCTTTAACAGGAAGGCTGGTAGGTAATGCGAGAAGGAATTTCACCAAGTAGCATTGGCATATGAAATCAATGGTTTAGCTTCTTGTGACATGCAAAACTTTTAACTCGAAGAATCATTCAACCTTCTCCCAGTTTAGAGAGGGTGCACCATTTCCTATTTTAAAGTAAAAATAATTACAATTACTACCTAGGTGTTCGTTTTTTATTTGAATAAGAAAATGAAAAACAAAATCTAGTATCCTTAAACATTAGCCTTCTTGTGGAGTTACAAGTACCTCATATGTTGTGTTTTGTGTTAGATATAGTGTCTTCAACAGGAAATATAACCACATGCCAAGGGGTTAGTAATTCTACAATAGGACTGGAGCTTTTGTATTATGCAAATTTCAGGGATAGGCTTTATAATAATTCATTCCAAGTAAATGACCTAATCCAGTTAACACAACCTTTTTGGTAAGTTATGATTTGTCTGATAACTCAACGAATACAATAATAGTCCAGGAAAATTCATTCTTATTGCAGAATGCTCGTAATTTTCAAAATCTATATATGCTTAGTTCTTTGGTAGCTGGAAATTGAAGAAAACAAACAATGTTCAAAAGATCTATCGCTGTACATTTTGTGGCCAGACCCACAACATGTACACTAATTTGGCTTATATCATCCTCCAATTGAGTCCACGTGTCAAAAA